CCCCCCCGCCGTCGCCGCCTGCCGCAGCCCCAGCCGCAGCAGCTGCCTCCCCGCCGGGCCGCCTAGTCTGGGCGCCGACATGGCAGGTCCAAGCGGTGTTACACTAAACGGCACTTGCGTAGCTGGTGAGACACGAGAATACTTGCATAAATCCCCGCCAGCCAGTTTCAATCCAGGACTCCGGCGCCCGGGGCCTCCGCTATTGTCTTCTGCACTCAGACTAAACTGTCAGCTCGGAATAAGGGAGGAGCTGAGATTTTCCTGCCCACTAAAGATTTTTTGTGGAGAACAGCGACATCCTGTGTCCCAACATGTTAATGCCATTTTGAAATTGCACCGGTCTTCCTTTATTTCCTTTTGTCCTGTGGTGAATCGTGTCGTCCATCCCAAACCAGACTTAACTGAGAACATCCTGCTCTTTTACATTCAAAATCATTAATGGGTTATCAGCGTGCAAAACATGGTCATATTTTAAGTTGTAATTTATTTATTAACGTTTGTCTTGTTTGTGCACTCCCTTCCCGCCCCGTACTCTGAATGTTGGAAAAATCTACCTTTTCCTTTACACATAGAGAGTCCTATTTCAAAAGGAAAGGCTGTAGGCATCATTCTGCAGAAAAGGAGAGCTGGCCCTCGTTTCGCTAAGCAGCCCGGTCTTAGCGAGAGCCTAGATTCCCCGGTCTGTGTCCTGGTCGGGGGCGAGAGAGCAAGAATGCCTTTCCGCGAGGTGTTGAAGTTCCATCGGGGAAGGAAGTTCAGCAATCTCAACACCGAAGGTTTCCTGTCCGTGCGGGCGGGGGGAGGTGGGAGAAGGAGATGAGTGACTGCATCAGACCGGTTCCCCTGGGAATGAAGCCACGGTCTCTACTGGGGCTACAGTCAGGAGGAAGCCGCTGCCCGACTTGAACCACTTTATAGCAGTCGCCGCCGCCGCCGCTTTTAGTATTAAGGGGAAACATCCCTTCCTTTCGCGGCAGTGGGCTCTCCCGGCTGTGAACGACCTCAGGCTGCGCCTGCAGACACACGAGGCTCCAGCGGATTCTCTCTCACAACTGAAGGTGCCGGACACAGGGCAATCAGCATGGCCACACCAAGGGCAAGGAGGACGCCACGACAGAGGCTCCCACACGCAGGAACTGGATGGCGCGGGGACACCTGGAATGGGTGGGGGACGAGGCAGAGGCAGGCTCAAGTGCTACTTTCTTGGGCTTCCAGCAATCTGTAGTCCTTTGGCTGCAGCGAAGCAGGGGCCTAGCTGAACAGGGATACCCAGAAGGCCGGGCCCGGGGTAGGCTTCCTTCCCTAAAAGCACTAGTCCAGAAGCTCTGCAAAGCTGCTTTTTCCGCCTCTTTATTAGGCTCGGTACTGGATTTGGTGGGTGACCAACCCTGTCTCGTCAATGGGACCTTAGCACAGGGCACGTGGGAAAGTGCTGGCTAGAAAGGCCGAGACGACTGGGCCTGGCTCTTTAAGCGGTAATATTCCCTCACTGCTTCCCTCCATCTCGCCATAGGGCAAACCCCAGCTGCTCTTATGAGGCACCAGGAACTGGGGGGAAGGAATCCCCTCCAGCCTCATCTGCTCTGATACTTCCCGGGAATGCAATACCGCCACTTCAGCGATCCCCTCCACGATCGTCCCTGCCCAGGCTGGGCAAGTGCAGTGCACATCACTGTGCAATCCGAGCCCGGCCCGGTGGCGCGGGCGGCTTTAGCGCTATTGCAGCAACCAGCCCTGAGCCGCTTCTCCACTTTACTTGGACTCTATCACCGCCCTTCGAGTAGCAACTCCTCGGCCAACCGTGCCAGGCGTGCGTTATCAGATTGCAGCGCTACAAAGGCCCGCTGCTTCTTCCTGCTCATGCCCGGGCTTTACTGGGACTGTCCCAACCACACCGCTTCTCATTCTTCCCTAGGAAGACTCCTCCCTTCCGTTTCCCTGGAAAGACTCAACTTCGGGAAACCTGCTTTCCTCCTGCAACATCCAGCTTTTGGTCACTTGTTTCCATTGCCTCGGCCTTCAACGGACCTTCGCCAGTTCCGAGCAGGAAGGAAAATTGCAAATGTTTCCTCAAACTCCAGCCACCCCGTGCGGCAGCTGTTTCCTGGAGAGGAAGCATTTCAGCATTCATGGTGGCGACCGAGAACATCCTTAAAAGTAATATTTCTCCAAACCCCGGCCCTTTGAAGGACAGTAACTGTTTTCTGAACCATCCTACATTAACAGGTGCTCCTCAGCATCGATGTCTCTCTATTCTTCCAGGCTCTCCCGCGACTCTGACACTCACAGAAACGTTTCTCAGCCTGTCAGATTCTTCGAGCTCCCACAAACGCCTACGCCTTCTGCTTATGCGGAGAAATGAATGCTTCAGTTGACACAATGTTTTCCTCTAAAATTCTCTCAAGTGCATGCATGCTGCCTTTGCTTCCTTGAACAATGGCAGAGAAAACTGCCCCCAAAACTTTTGTGCTCTGACACCAACATTTAGTAATCCACACAATTTGACTTGGCAGGGGTGCCGCTATATGGTTTTCTACATAATGGGCTCTGAAGCTGAAGGAAGAAGTAGAGGTGTGTGTGTGTGTGTGTGTGTGTGTGTGTGTGTGTGTGTAATATATATATTAGAAGCCTTTATGTTCTCGCATCAATTGTTCATACAACACAGGTCTCCGTCTTCCTCGAGTACTTGGGTGAGGGGAAAGAATGCATAGGGGTTTATCGTAGGTATAGGATAAAGGGGAGCAAGAATCTGTGTTTCAAAAGTAAGGCTGAGATCTGGAGAACCCGGATCTCCTAATGAGCTGTTCCAGAAGTGTTCAGGCTAGCTCTGGTTCAACAGCCACATAAGTCAGTGGGAAAAGTCTCCATTATCTTCAGCAGGCATTGGATCAGGCCCTTAACTCTAAGTGGAAACAGAAAAATCAGCCGTAATCTGACTGAGCACTTCAATGTATCTTGCAGTCTCCTCCCTCTTCCGGAACCTTTTTCCTTGCACACAAGTTTTG